CCAAGGAGGCCTCTCGGGTGGCCCGGCCGGAGCGGCCCCGAGCGGACAGTAGCCATGCCTTCCTCACCAAGCCCCCGGCCCGCTCTGGCCTGGAGCCTGCCTCCTCTCCCAGCAAGGGCTCTGAGCCCCGGCCCCTGGCGACCCCCGGCTCCAGCCACGCGGCCGTCGCCCGCACCCCAGCGAAGAGCCTCGCGCCCCACCACGCCAGCCCGGACCAGCCGGCACCGCCCACCTCCGCCTCTGACCCGCACCGGGAAAAGACTCAAAGTAAACCCTTTTCCATCCAGGAATTGGAACTCCGTTCTCTGGGTAAGACCACCCTGACAGCGGCCACCTTCATAGACGCGATTATCATGCGTCAAATTGCTCACGATAAGGGGCCGCGAGAAGGAGGCTCTCTGGCCAGCGACTCCCCTCGCGATGGTAAGACTTCCAGCCCCGCCGCCCGCCCCACCTTGTGGCCTAAAGATATTTCAGATCTCGGCTTTTTATTTTCCCCATTTTTCGTTGATTTTGGTATTTCATTTGGAAGCCTGTCTCCGTCAACCCGCACGCTCCGACGACCCTCCGGCTGGCCCACCCCAGCGCGGGGCCCTCATTATCTGCTCATCGTTTTCTCTTGAGTTTTGGTGATTTTATTTTTGGGGGGTTTCGCTTTTTTCCCTTTAATGGATGGGTCTGTGGTTGAGCTGACTGTGCCCCCGTCTGCACCTTCCTTGGGGGAGCAGGGAGTGGGCTGTAGAGGGCTTAGTCAGAGGGGTGACCTGCCGCTGTGGGGCTCGAGCCTAACCTGGAGGGACAAGACAGGCAGTGTAGGAGTGAGATGGGGAAGGCGGAGGGTGCCACTCTGTCCCGCAACCTGGGGACCCATGTCCTAGGTGGGAGGAGTCCTCTGTGCCCAGCCCGCTGCCACTCCGGCTCACAGCTCCTCCTGTGGACCGGGGCTTGCCGAGGCCGTGGGCCAGCTGAGGCCCCCAAGGCTGGGTGTCCTCATTCCTCACCCCCACCCCGTCTATCTCACCCTGCCCCCCAGCCCCTCCGCCCGAGACCCTGTGTCCCTCCCTCCGTGGTCTGTCTCTCTCCGTGTTCGGCTCTGGCTCTCACTGTCCCTTGGTCTGTCTGTCTCTGCATTTTCTCACCCCTCTCAGCCTCCCTCATACCCTTCTGGCTTACAGTCTCTGGGGGTGCCAGCCCTGCCCCATCTGGGTTCCTTCCATCCCATTGGGACCCAGCCAGCGTGGGAGGGTGGGCAGAGGGCACTGCCAGCCCCGGCCGGCCAGCTCCTAACTCTGGGCCCTGCCTGGTGTAGGTTACCACGGCGGCAGCTACAGCCCCGACGGCGTGGAGCCCATCAGCCCTGTGAGCTCGCCCAGCCTGGCCCACGACAAGGGTCCGCCCAGGCACCTCGAGGAGCTTGACAAGAGCCACCTGGAGGGGGAGCCGCGGCACAAGCACCCAGGTACACCCTGAGACAGTGCCCACCCTGTGGTGGGGAGACCCAGGCGCGAGAGGGGCCACAACCTGACCGGCTCCCCTGCCCACAGGCCCCGTGAAGCTCAGCAGTGAGGCTGCCCACCTCCCGCACCTGCGGCCGCTGCCCGAGAGCCAGCCCTCATCCAGCCCGCTGCTCCAGACTGCCCCGGGGGTCAAAGGCCACCAGCGGGTGGTCACCCTGGCACAGCACATCAGTGTAACTACCGCCCTCCGCCCTCCTCACCTGCGCACCTGTGCGGTCAGGCCGGGGTGTGGGGTAGCGGGCACCCAGGGGGCTGTCTCCGCCCTCCGCCCTCCTCACCTGTGCACCTGTGCGGTCAGGCCGGGGTGTGGGGTAGCAGGGACCCAGGGGGCTGTCCCCGCCCTGTGCCCTCCTCACCTGCGCACCTGTGCAGTCAGGCCTGGGGTATGGGGTAGCGGGAACCCAGGGGGCTGTCCCCGCTCTCTGCCCTCCTCACCTGCGCACCTGTGCGGTCAGGCCGGGGTGTGGGGTAGTGGGCACCCAGGGGGCTGTCCAGAGTCAGACCCTGCAGCTTTACAGGCATAGTTCTAGAAGTTTCTTTTTTTACTATGTTTTTTAAAAAATGTTTTATGGAACTCTAATTTTGACCAGAGAGGGATAGAGCGAGAGAGAGGGGGAAAGTGAATAAGTAGGCCGCCAAATCCAAGATTCGAACCGCAGTGGGCCATGTGGGAGTCCTGCGCCCCCAACCACCATGCCACCTGCCGGCCCCTCTAGAAGTTTCTTAATGTATAGCCAGTCAAATCCACCCTATCTGCGGACCGTGGGCTGAGACCCGTGACTAAGTCCCGCTCCTGAGATGCCCCAGGCCCTGCCTCCAGGCTCTGCCCTAGGCTCCTTCTGCCTCCCGCGTACCCAGAAGGCTCTGGCACTCAGCTGCCACCTGACGCGCCCCTCCCCGGCCTGCAGGAGGTCATCACGCAGGACTATACGCGGCACCACCCTCAGCAGCTCGCCGCGCCCCTTCCTGCTCCGCTCTACTCCTTCCCTGGCGCCAGCTGCCCCGTCCTGGACCTCCGCCGCCCACCCAGCGACCTCTACCTCCCGCCCCCTGACCATGGCGCCCCGGCCCGCGGCTCTCCTCACAGTGAAGGGGGCAAGAGGTGAGTGGGACGGTCAGCAGCGGGAGGCTTGCCTCGGGTGTCTGCCTGGGCCCGGCTGGGCTCGGATGCACAGGGCCCCACTGGGGCCGCCACACAGGTGAGAAACGGGGGCACGCAGGCGGGGGAGCCTGGCTGGCCTTGGAGCTGACGGAAGAACTGCAGAGGCTTAAGTCAGCCTGCGGGTTCCCGGCGTGGCCTGAACACCGGCACAGCCTCCTGCGGCTCTGGTGGCGAGGTGTAGGTCCCCCCAGATGGAGAAGCTAAGGCCCAAGAATGGACTTCACTGTCCGTAGGGACAAAGCCAGTGAGTCTCAGCTACGCGATCAGGAAAGCAGCCCCACGCACACACGCACGCCCACGTGCACACTCCTGCCCTGGTTAGCCCAGGGCCCGGAGCTTTCTAGGGTGAAGGGAGAGTTAGCAGGGGTGCTGTGTCAGACACGGATGTGGGAAGAGAGGCAAGACACAGCGCGCTGGCCCACGGCCTGTCTTGAACACTCGTGCACTATGAGGGCGTGCGGGAAGAGGAGGCCACCCAGTGCCTCGCGCAGCCTGGTGTCCACGGGAGTGAGCCGGTCCACGGAACTGGGTGCTGCTCCCCTCGGGAAGGAGAGCCCTGACTGAGCCGGAACCTCTCCCCCAGGTCCCCAGAGCCGAGCAAGACGTCGGTCCTGGCAGGTGGCGAGGATGGCATCGAACCCGTGTCCCCACCAGAAGGCACGACCGACCCGGGGCATCCCCGCAGTGCTGCGTACCCGCTGCTGTATCGGGACGGGGAGCAGACAGAGCCCAGGTACCTGCACGGCTGGGCCCTGCCCTCCCTCGGCCTTGGTCCCCTGCTGGGCGCCTGGAGGCTCTGGAGGGCTCTGGGGCAGTCTCAGGCCTGCCAAGCAAATTTTGCAGCCTTGGGGGCTTCAGGTGTACCCTATCCTCACGGGGGGGCCTCTGTGCCATCCTATGCCTCACTGTGGCCTGAGCCCAGGCCAGACCCCTGCTGCCGGCCCTGCCGAGTATGAGTACTGAGTCCCACGTGCTGGCCTGAATCGAGGGGACAGTGGGGAAGGAGCTGGGCCCGCTGACCCACAGGGGACTTGGCTTCCCCTCTCAGTGGCCGAGACTTTCCGGGGGTCAGGGTAACGCAGGTGTTCGCGTGGCCCACCACGCAGCGGCGGCGTCTGGGCCGCCCTAGCCCCAGGGTAGGCAGATGCACAGGCTATGTGGGGCTCCGTCTCCTGGCAGACGCGGCAGGGCCTGGCGTGGGAGAAGCTGGGCCCCGAGTGCCAGGGCAGCTCAGGTGGGGCTTGCCGTCCCCCGCGGTGTGCAAGCTTGGGGCCCAGCACTGACAGGGGCTCTGGTCCCACAGCACGGTGGGCTCCAAATCTCCGGGCAGCACTGGCCAGCCACCGGCCTTCTTCAGCAAGCTGACCGAGAGCAACTCCGCCATGGTCAAGTCAAAGAAGCAGGAGATCAACAAGAAGCTGAACACCCACAGTCGGAACGAGCCGGAGTACAGTAAGCGCCCGCCGTGCCCCTGCAGAAGTGGGGTCCCCGTGGGCCTGCGGCCTGCCTGGGAGCTGGGAGCCGGCTGGCAGTAGAGCCCGTGGGCGCTGTCCAAGCTGAGTGGACTGCCGACCGCCCGTCCCCCAGCCCCCCACCCTCCATTCAGGGGGCCTCAGGGCAGTCTCTGTGCCAGCCAGCCAGCCGTGGCATTGCCGGCACAGATGTGGCACCGAGGGGCAGCGTAGGTGCTCAGCGGATCGTGTGTGAACCCCCACAGCACGCCAGGGGTTGGTCCCATGCGTGCAGAGCCATCCATAGCACACGTGTGCTTTCACCCCCTTGTGTGGTGCTAAACCGAAGTCTGTGCCTCGCTCCCCGCCCTTGGCGGAATGCCAGGCGTTGAACTTCGGGGATCCGTGATTGGCGGGTGAGAGAGAGAGGGATCTGTCATACCCCTGACCCTGAGATACCTCCTGCCAGGGGAGCTGGGGCAGGTTGCAGGGGTTCCCTTGCGGGGGCCGTGGGGAACAGCGCTCATGGTCTGGCCAGGCGGCAGCTCCAGGGTTTGCCAAGGGCACCCACAGCCAGCACGTCAGTGTGGGCGGGGCGTTGGCTTAGTCTCAGGCCCCGCCCCCTGCTCCAGAGCATGACAAACAAGGTGCACAGGCCATGCTGGCCGAGGTACATGGGCCAGGCTGGGACAGGTGGCATCCCAGGACCATGGGCTGAAGGCCTGACCACCTTGTTACTCCCTCCAGATACCGGTCAGCCTGGGACAGAGATCTTCAACATGCCTGCCATCACCGGAGCAGGTAACCCTCCCCACGGGCTGCACGCTGTCCACCCCACCTTGCCCAGCCATCGTCACGGGGACCAGGAGCCTTTCCTAGTTAGGACGCTCCTCATCCGGTCTCACCGCAGGCCCGGCGGGTGCTCACGTCCTAGCTGGAACCTCTGCGAGGAGTGTGTGGACTGGCTTCCGGGCCCTCGTGTGCGCAGTGTGCTCGGTGCACGTGCACACACCCAGAGGCTCACAGGGTTTGCGTGCCAAGTCTGGACTGGAATGCGGGCCTGTGCTTCGGGACACCCGGGCTTTGGGTCTGCGTCTGGCTTTACAGCTAGAGCGTATGTTTTACTTGGGGACAGGAGCTGGCGAAACTTATTTTTCCTTCTCACTTTTTGTTTGTTTTTTGCCAAATGAAGCAGAGATGTGTGCAGTTTGAAGCTGGAACTTTCACGTTCCTTTGGGCTTGGGCCTCCTGTGCCCACCGGCCCTGTGAAGGAATGGGGTGGGGCTTGGGGCGCTGCCTTGGGTAGTCTGGTGTGAGGTGACGGCACCCCGAGTGACGGTGACACCCCATGGGCGGGCCTGCCTGGTGTGGTCTGCACCTCCGTGTTGGTGACTCTGTCGTCCCTCAGCGGAAGCCTGAGGCCAAGGGGCACAGGAGGCTCGCTGAGCTTCCCTGGGGACATTTAGGGGCCTCTAGCCCCGGGAATGCGGTGTGTGAAGACAGCCCTGGAGATCACGGGGTCCCACCGATGGCACCCCCACCTATCCAAACACTTGACACAGAGACTGTGATGAGCCTCAGGCAATGAGAAGGAGGTGATTTGGTGGAAACGGGAAGATGGATAGAAATGCATGTTTCCAGAATGTTCCAACTGTCGACGTAGTCGCTAGACACGCAAGTGTGTGTTTGTGTGGCAGTCCACAAACGTGGACGATGACAAGTGTGCTAGAACTTGCAAACTTGAACGTAGATCATGTTTTTTTGTTGTTAAAAAAAAAAGTCCAGGTCACACACACGAAATAGAAACAAGCCCTGGTCCCTGCTGCTCAGCCCATGCCAGGCTGGCTGTCGTGAAAGGCTAAGGAGACGGCCGCGCTCCCAGACCACACCCCGGTCCCGGCGACCACGCTCCCGGCCGAGGCTGGCCGTACGGGAGGGGCCCAGGGCTCTGCCGCAATTGCGAGAGCGAGAGCGTTCTTGTGGGAACGACCTCAGGCCCCGTGTACCTTGCTGTGCCGCCCCACTTCCCTGTGTTTTGTGAATAAGATCGTCAGTCCTTTATTTTTCAGCACTCATCCCTGTTAGAGAGTGTGTTTTCTTGATGACCATGGGCTGATTTTTTTTTTTAATTTTGCCGGAGGATACGTGCTCTGGCCCGGGTGCAGAGAGCAGCCCCCATAAGGGACAGTCACGCCACAAACCCTTCTCCACGTCTCCCTTTTGGGATTTGGGGATGCATGCACATGCACCTGGTGTGATTCTTAAGCTGCCGGGCCCGGGACTCAAACTGTCCAGTGGGTCACGTGGGATCCAATCACCTGAAACACCATGCCACCAGCCGAAGTGCTGATGAAATGTGGTGAGCCGCAGCTAAGCACGTATAGCGAGCATTCCCAGCTGCAGATGAGTCTGAAACCAAAAAGTAGGAGGGAAGAAACCCAAATGCTACGGTAGGCGGCCATCGCTCCGGAAACGCAAGCTCACGAGCCCCTACAGGAGCCGTCAGCTTAGTTTAGTGAGTGAGGGGACGAAGGCCCGTTGGCCACTTGGTATGCACACCGCTCACGCACAGCCGAAGTTGTAACATTCAGAAAAGCCTGCCCAGCGGCCGCAGCCTGGGCTGAAGTTCCTGGGAAGTATTTGCAGAGTCTGAACAAAGACTGAAAAGAGACGCCCACCCGGGGTTCGCAGGAGTTCCCCACTGA